GTGTTGACTTGTGGCTCTTACTTGGAAATTCCATGTCATCCTTTTTATTTAATTTAGATTTTCTTTTGGTTTGTATCTTATTCTCCTTGTTCTAAGAAAAATCAGTTTATTATTCCTAGATCAATCTGTAATACAGTTTGAAGTCCTAACCTTGAAAACAGTTAATATATATGCTTGATTTTAGCTTGTGAACAGCCTCCTTAAAGCCAAGAGGCTACTTCATATAAGAAAGCATTTAGCTTTGGCTTTGTTTATACTATGATCTCCCATCACCATTGCTATCCTACCATTGCTTTAGGATAGATGCAGGGTGCAGCTACAGAAGTAGTGACAACCACTTTCCCAAACCAGATAGGCTATGCCAAAAAAAAAAAAAAGTCACTGTTGCTGGCATACAACTGCCTATATACAGGGGAGTTCGCTGGCAAGGCAGTAGTAGCTGGCAGGAAAGAGAAGTTAATTTTTCACAGATTCTCACATTGACCTAACTGTCAGCAACATTTTATAATTGTGCAATTTTGGCCTTTCTTCGTTCCCTAATGTAACACGGTGTTTAGCATGTTTAATGTTTTCCCTAACGTAATATGGTGTCTTTGGAAAAGAGAAGAGAACATTAAAAATAATTTTAGCTTTTATTCAAGTTAAGAGTTACCTAAATTAAGATGGGAATGAACTTTGTGATACGAAGATATGCTTCTTTAGCTTCTTCTGCAGCACTCCAAGCTTTACAATTTTCAGAAAACATTGAAAAGGACCAATATAACTTGGCCCAGCTGTTGCAGAAGTTCCAATGAAAGTCATAAGCCACAAGACATTCTTCTGAAAATGAAATGCAGATGCTTTTGGAAAGAATACATACAGTCTTCCCCAAATGACTCAATATTTTTAATTTCTAGTGTTTAGTCTTTTGCCTTGGGAAAACTAAACTTAAGCTGCACTCAGAGCACAACTATATGAGCTTGAGAGTACCAAACTCGTTCAAAAGAGATAATTTTTCACCCCTGCAACAGATTTATAAAATCTGTCATAATTAGAAAATAGATGCCCAAGATGGGAAAGCAGAAAAGTTGCAGGTATGGACTGAGGGCTCATGCTAAAAGCTTCCCTCTGTGCAGATTTTCCAACGCATATTTATCAGAGTCCACACTATCTGCAGTCCACACTGCAAAGTCCACATTTCAGCTTTGCTGAATCTCCCCTTGAGAACAGCCTTGTCAGGTATGCCAAACCGGGTGTTAAAAGCTGCTGGGATTTTGTGGCTTGAACATACGTTTTCTAAAGACAAAACTGAAATCAAGCTCCTGTTCCACTGGGAACGAAATGCATTTTTGAACTATGGTATTCTCATAAGAAATCCAACACACCATCCCCTTCCTCCTCCTCTTTCTGGTCCCTGGAGCCTGAAGACAGATATAGTTTCTCAAATTGCTTGGACAAGTAGCTTGCCTCCGTCTCATGATACGTATGGTATGACTAGAATCAGAAACCTGCTTTAGACCTGGCAGAGGAAGACCTAGAGAGAGCTAAAATATTCAATATACAGGATTTGCTGTACAATAATGCAAGAGAGGATATAGCACCCCCCATCCATACAAAA